TATGCAATGCTGTAATATTACAAGATACTATTAAGCAATAATTGCATATATAAATGATACAATATGGATTGCTGACAGTAAGCAGCAGCAAATAAAAATTCTAGCAATAGTAGAAGAGTTCTTCAAGATGAATAATATAAAGATAAATAGAGTAAAGTCAAAGCTGTTAATAATAAATACAAAATTAAAAAAAGAAGAAAGTAAGATAATATTTAGAAAAACTAAAATAATAGAAAAACCAAGAAATAAAATAGTTTAATTATTAGAAATATAACTAAACAACAGAATGTACAAAGTACTGATAAAGAAAAAAGTAAAAAAATAATAAGACAAACAATAAAAGACCTCAGATGCAAAAAAATGTCAATAAGTCAAATCATATATATAAACAATATGGTAATAATATCCAAATTAAGTTACATGCTACAATTAACAAAGATGTTAAAAAATAACTTAAATAAAATACAACTACCAATAATAAGCCTTACAAAACAGAAGAGTAACCTATAAAGAATATTAGAGAATTGTATAATGAAATATAAAGATCTTGAAAGCTGCAAAACACTATAACAAAAAATAATAATAAAATAAGTAGATAAGCTATTAGCAAGATTAAATAAGCAAGACAGTCTTGAAAAGCTAACAAAACTAAAAATAATACAAGGCAGCAAAAAAGAAGGTTTAACAGATAATATATAGAAGGTAAAAGAGATATTAGAGAATATAAAAAATTAAAAAAAAATTTGCATTGTTTAACAATATTAAAGATAAAAAAATTAAAAATAAATATAAGAACAGAAGACAATTTATAGACAGTTTTCAAATATGGCACCAAAATAAATAAGCTTATAGACACTAGTTTATGAAAAAGAAATAGAATTAAAATAAATAAATAAGATTTAGTATATCTAAATCAGCTGCTTGATATAAGATGAGAAAAATTAATTACATAGCAACAGCTAAAAAATTACCAAGGCCTATTAAGCAAAAAAAAAAGCAGAGTAGTTTAAAATAATAAAACTAAAGGTACTTAGTAAACCAAAAAGCAAAGAGATCAAAGAACACTTTAAAACAAACAGGCAAAATATACAGACAATGAAAATTAAATAAAAAAGTATATAAAAAAATAGATTAAAAAAAGAATAAATAGCATATGATGCACAAAATCATAAGCAGTTAGGAAAAATAATTAAAAAGAAAAAAAAAATACTAATAGACATTGGCAAATACAGATTAGAGAAGATAAATTAGTTATTAAAATAAATAAATATGAAAGTTGTACAAAAATAGAAAAACAAACAAAAAATAGCTACCAACAGTGGATTAGAATAAATAGTAAGATTAACATAGTTTCTGACATGTTAATAAAAAAAGATAGTAACAAAATTAATATAACAATAGATCAAATAACAGAAGCAATAAAGATAAACAAATCAGAAACTAAAAAGCAAAAACTTGAAGGAATAGAATGATAAAAGAGTTTGAAGTAGAAATTATTAGATGACAAAAGCTAAACAAAAGCATCAATCAAAAAATAATAAATTCTTAAAAAGAAACATAATAAGAAAAAAAATAATTATATAATATACATAGACAGTATAACAAGTAGTTAGACCAAAGAAGATACAATAACTAAAAATAAGATAAATATAGGATGAATCTAAATGAATAAAACACAAGATGAGCAGAAAAGAAAATATCTTAGATTTAGAAGAATGATAAACATCAATAATAGTTAAGCTAGCAGTAATATGGACAGCAATCTTAATGATATCAAAAAAAAAGCAGTTAGAGATATATATAGATAATAATATAATAAGAAACATTAGTAGAGGTTTGGAACAAATAGATAAAAGTAAGATTCTTAAAATGAAGAATACAATATGAATAATAAAAATTAGAGACCTTATTATAATATAAAACATTTAAATAAAATTAGTTAAACTAAAAAGTTATAGTAAAAATAGATGAAATGACAAAGCTAATAACTTAGCAAAAAAAAAGAGTAACAAGCAAGAAGATAACACAAATTAAAGAAGTTAGTTGTAAAGAAATAGAATACTGCTTAGAGTAAGCAAACAAACAAACTGATATACTAATAAAATTACTATGTAAGTTAATAACAAATACAAGATTAGAATTAGAATAGAAAGAAACAAAATCAATTAAAAACTTAGTATCAGACTTAGAAGTTACAATTTATGATTGAACATATTTTTGAAAAAAGCTAAAGATAACTAAAGAGATGCATTGTATAACAAGAAAAATTAGTGTCAGAAGAAATGTATTTATAAAATATATAATAGATAAACTTTCAACTTTAGAAAAACTCAACAAAAGAAGACCAAATATGTATACAACAACAGAATATTAAGTATATTAAGATAAAGTCAAAAAAATATAAGCACATTTGACAGAATGTAAAGAACAAAAAGTTTGTAAAAAAGAATTCAGAAAGTGATAATCACAACAGTCTGAAAAGAACTAAAAAAAGAAAAAAAGTTTAGATCTCTTCTTATGTGTTATACACAATGCTCTTTGAAAAAACAGAAGTAGAGAAAGTAAAAATAAGAGAAACATTAATTAATGACCTAATTCTAAAAGAAAGACAGAAATAATTATAGCAGCTTTTAAATATAAAATCAAAATAGCAATTTGTAAATATAATAACAAGTACAGTCTAAAATATTTTATGAACAAGTATAGAGAATCTAATATAAAAAGATTAACAAATAAGAGAAAAAAATAAAAATAATAAGTAGGTTAAAAAGAGAAAAAGTAAAAAAGAAGCTGGAACAAAGTAAGAAAAAGCAAAAGAAAAAGAAAAACAAATTAGAACAAAAACACAAAAAACAATGTTAGGCTTGTTGTAAAAGAAAGAAACTCTTTTCATTATGAACTTTAAGTAGTTAAATAAGTAGCTTACTTCTGTTTGAAATAATGTGACAAGTTATATTTAGGTACTATTAAGATGTCTAGGTGATGCTAGACTTAGTTGTTAAGAATATTTATATAATTGCAAATGTAATTTTAAAATCTTAATAAAGTACTAGCATGACTGCTTAAGGAAAAAAATTTTTTATTCAAATAATTATCAGAAAAGATTAATATGCTTATATATATGTTTTAGTAATTATCTATGTAGTTATTTATATAAAATTTTTTTAAAAAATCAAGTTAAAACATATAATTTACTATGCCTTATAACTTTATTTTTAAGACAAAAACCTCATATTATGATTATATTTAACAAAGTTATATACTTTTATAAAAATATTAAAATAGTCAAGACTAATATTAGATACAACCTTTTTGTAATTAGGCTTACTAGTAATTTATAAAGTTAAATTCTAAAAAAATATAAGCTAAAAAATTTAATTTTTATTGTTTTGTTTATTGTTTAATTTTTAATATTTATTATGTAAAAAAAAAAAAAAATCCTCCAAAATACATATTAGGCTTTTGGCAACATTTATGATTATAATTTGTTTTGTCTTTCATTTCCTGTATACTTATCACTATGAAGAACACTAAATGGGTATGTCTCTTCCATCATCGAGCAACCTATGCAGCCTCGTGAATATCAGCTGACTAAAATATGCTTCCTTATTAAATATTATATAATTATTCTTACAATTACTTTTTGCAATTGTCCCGACTGGCCACTCTCCCATGACTGTCGTCTAGACAGATTACAATTCAAAATATCAGCAAAACATAACACTGTAAAACCTACCGCCCTTGCTATATTAAGCTGTGACTGCCATTCTGGCAGGCCAATTCACCTAGCAATACTCAATTCACAGGAAGGGTGGGTGGATTGATATAACTAGATCGAAAGTCAGGTTCGCAAAAAAGACAAAATTACCCTTCAATACCTTTACAAATTTACCTTAATATACTACTATCCAATTACCTCATAATTACTCAATAACACTATTACCTTATAATTATTTAACTACCTCTAACATACTACAAACTACTATTATTGATCAAACTATAATTAATAAACCTATTACTAATAACTCAAATTACCTCATACTTTCATTTGATTCACTAATACTTGATTGAACATGTGACCATAATAGGGCCTATCACATGTTCGATCTACTGGCACATGATTCGAGACAAAAGCTGCTTCGATACTTATATATCGAGCAGCTAATTTGTTTTGTCTTTCATTTCTTGTATACTTATCACTATGAAGAACACTAAATGGATCTTTCCAGAGTATTGTAAAAGTGAAATTAATATGCTCAATAACTCCTTAGCCATATACACTAACAATAACTCAACTCACAATCAGACAGTAAGAACTTCACCACTAAAATCCTATTAATGTCGAAGCTCCTAACTCAGCTGACCCTACCAATCTCATATATAACTATGCAGCATCCAAAACCCAACTGCCAATCGCTTGAATCTGCTCTAAAGACATTCCTCCCTTCATGGCTGCAGTGGCACCCCCAATTCTTAAGCTATGTGCTATAAACTTACTCTTTAAATTCGCATGCTTAGCAAAACATTTCATCACTGCTGTAACTAATAAAAATGTCATCTTAGATCTTGATTTCGACAGAAAAAATGGTGCCTTCTCTGTTGTTTCTGGTCTTATTTTAAAATACTCAGTTATTCTTCTAACTGGGCAATATTTGCTACTAGATATCTCAATCAACACAAATTTTCTTCTTGCAAGTTGGTTCATCTTCGACTCATTTACTCTTATTCACAAAAATCTATTCCTTATTTCTATATCCTTTTTTCTTAAATCATACAGCTCTCCTGACCATCTCATTATTCTTAAGCCTAAAGCTATCAATGCCAAATCTCTAGTCCACATTTCAAAACTCACACCTTCTGAAGGAAAGTCCAAGTATTGCTTAACCACCTCAACAGACAACAAATCACTTAGCTACTTAGCCTCTACGTCCCTTGCCATAACCCTCTTAATGCCATTAGCAACCATTTGCACCATGCTACTTTTTGACAGATTAACCAACCCCTTTAACTTATGGACTCTAGAAATTGCAGCTAAACAATTCTGTATCTCAACACTCTGTCCTGACATTTTCAACCAAGCTAAAAAAACTGCTATTGTCAAATCTGATGCTGGACAAGATTCATGATTTATCAGTTCTGCAAAACTAACAAATAAACCCCACACCTTGTCCAATTTTCTCCTATAGGCCTCACTAATCAAACTCCTATTCAGAGTATCCATTCGAACTAACTATTTTTCAACCAATCTATCTGAATCACCCTCAATTTCCAATTCGCGTTGTTGCAAGGTTCTCTGTGACCCGACAGACCTGCTTGCACAGCCTTCTCTGGTGGTGGTAAATCTATCTTCTCCTTTTCTGCCCGAACTACCATTGGCCACCATGGAGCCGCAACCCAAACTGGAACAATATTTATTACTACAGCTCCATATTCCTTTGCATGGACCAACGAATAGTGAATCAAAGCAAATGAAGAGCATACATAATTTATGCACCCCTTTCAATCTTGTGTGAAGCAGTCCACTGCTTTCATTCCAGGATAAAGGTGTAAACTGTTGAACCTTACCAGTTTTGTATTTATATGGCTTGCAAACCTGTCCACATTGAATTTTCCCTATCGTCCTTGAAGCTAATCTATTATCTCTGCTTTTATTTTCCAATTCCCAAAATTTATTACTCGTGACCATGCATCCACTGAGTTTTCTAAACTTGAAATCCATCTTGTACAGTAAATACCTATATCTTTCTCTACGCAACACTTCCAAATCTCTCTGGCAATATCCTTTTGCTATTGTAGCAGTCCCCCATTCATTACCATCTTTAATGCTATCTTGTTGTCTATTACCAACATAACTCATGACCCTTTTAATTGGTCCCCAAAAGATTGTAGGGCCTGAAGCACAGTGATTGCCTCCAACTGTGCTATTACACTTGCTGTCAATTGATATATCCAGTTTCCTGCCACAACTAAACCTCGGTAAACTCCACACCAGCCTATCAGTAATGCATCTACAAACAGACACTCTATTTTCAATGGTTTCCATGCAGGACACCTGTTCAAAAGTCCTAAATTCTCTATTAACTATCAAATATCTTCTATGGCCTGATTGGACAGAGTAATCATCAAATCCCAATCATTCTAGCAATGGTTCCTTGCATCTATTAACTTGTAAAACTCCAAACATTTTACTTGAGCTGAAGAAAACGCCCTTGCCAAGCTCTGAATCTTTCCTGAAACTGATGCCAGTTTTTGCACAGACACTCTTGAACTCTCCAACAAGGTCTTCAATAATGCAACCATTGCAGAAATCTTCTCTACTAGTGCAATCACTAGGCCCTCTATCGTATCCATGATAAGGTTGCAGAATTTCAGACTCTGAATTTGATCCTAACCTCCTTTCTCCACTACTCGCACCTATCTGCACTTTTGCAAATTCTTCTCTATTACTGCCTGTCTCTGCTCCAACAAGATGTCCCTTGACGGATGTGCTATTCATATATCATCTAAATAATTCCTGCAAAATATTTCTCTTGCTCTTCAACTCCCTATAATCACCTTCATTACTTTTGCAAAAATCCATAAAGATTGACTCAAGCCAAAAGGCAACACTTTGTAATAAAACCACATTTCATCAAAATAAAATCCTAGAAAGCGCTGAGCCAGCTTGTCCATTAATAGATGGTGATAGCCTTCCTTTAAATCAAACATTAACACCCACCAGCCCCTTCCGACTGTTCTCAACAAGGTCCCTAACCCTTCAAACTTGAATGACTTCTTTGGTAATATGTTGTTCAATCTCCTAAGATCTATAATGAGGCAAAATTTCTTCAGACCTTGTTTCGGCACTACAAATATTGGACTCACTTCCAAGAGTGTTTCTGGCCTTGATCTCCCTTGTGCAACTAACTCTATTGCACCAGCCTTCTCTAATCTTCTAAATTCCCTCCTATCTACTCCCTCTTTTCTAAAGTAAAAACTCTTGGTTCTGATACCACCTTCAACACAAGATTCATAACTCCTCTTGAAAACAGAGGAATCCTTTTTTCTAACCATTTTAACACTAACAGTGCCAGTTTTATCACATCCTTCCAATACCTTATTGCCAACTCTGAGTGTAATCTTCCCAGTACGTACTGTTCATCATTGTTCATCACCATATTCTTCTTTATTTTTATTTCTAATTCCTTCCGAGTGTTGTCAACTCTTTCTTTGCTTAGAGTTCTCATTCCGAAAAGGAATATTCAAGTGCTTACGTGAACCACATTCATTCACATAATGCCCTCTCCCTTCACACAGATAGCAAACAACTTCCTTTCCTATATCAAATTTTCTCCCTACATTTGAATTCTCAGAACCAGGAAAAGGTGAAAACTTATTACCTACTGACGAAAACAGATTCTGTAAAAAACTATTCTGTGTTGTTTGTTGTCCTGATATGTACGAATCCATATTGCTAACTCCCATAACTGCTGACGACGAAACCAACCCATGTTGATTAGGCCACTGTTGCCAAAACGGTAAAATCGAAGGATGTGCTTGAAAAAACACCGGCGTAACAGGTTGCCCCTGATGCACACCCGAAAAGGCATTTACAGTATTACCTTGTTGAGCATCCACCTTTTGACTCCTTTCCTGTGCTGGTTTCAGTTTTTTACTCTTAGAAACACTTTGCACTGCTAACCTAGCTCTTTCTCTCTTCCCTCCAAACATTTGCGACATAGGATCAACTGTATCATTAGATGCCATCTTCACAGCAACGCCCCACCCGTCTTCATCAGCAACTCTAACTATATACGCCCTTTCTAAAGCCACTTGTCTAGTCAGCAGCAAATAGTCCACATCTCCCGTATTCAAGGCTTTATCCATCAATAACCCAACCTTACACCATTCATTAAACTCCCATTGATTCCCTGCCTTTGACAAATTCTGCTTTCTCCATAAGCCAGTTTCGTCACTATCATTATCGAATACAAATTTTTCCTTTCCTTCAGGAAACCACAACGACTGATGCACACCTGCTGCCCTTGCACCTAAATCTCCTTCTTCTTGCTTATTGATATTTGGACCCCCTACACTATGCCCATGATCCCGTGTATGGAAAAAAACCTCTGTATCACCCACATCATTATCCAAGTTCATCGATTTTCCTTTCCCAAACAGATCGCCAGACGCCTCTTCTCTTGCTTTACACTCACTAACTAGTCTATTAACTAAGTCCTGTTTCAAACTGACCTCTGAAACACCCATCCCTTGACATAGAAATTTCAACATTTCAAGCGACAAATGGCCAAAATTTGCTTCGAAATTGACTTGGCCACGGGATGGTTCAGGATCATTATTTGATTGAATGATCAAATCTTCATCAACTGCAACTTTATTTTTCTCTGTATTACTAGACATAATAAAATAAGACAATAAACTAAGCTACTAAACTGAAATAATAACTGAAAACTACTATATTAAAATACTAAGATTATTTTGCTCGATATAACCAGAACGAAAGTCGGGTTCGCAGAAAAGACAAAATTACCCTTCAATACCTTTACAAATTTACCTTAATATACTACTATCCAATTACCTCATAATTACTCAATAACGCTATTACCTCAATTATTTAACTACCTCTAACATACTACAAACTACTATTATCGATCAAACTATAATCAATAAACCTATTACTAATAACTCAAATTACCTCATACTTTCGTTCGATTCACTAACACTCGATCGAACATGTGACCGTAATAGGGCCTATCACATGTTCGATCTACTGGCACATGATTCGAGACAAAAGCTGCTTCGATACTTACGTATCGAGCAGCTAATATTTTAGAATTTAAAAAATAATTTATTTTAATATAAGCAAAAACCGAAAATTTTATGTCCAACCTTACTAATCACACCACAATCATTATCTTGATTGTTTAAAGCGGGATGACAAAGAGATATAATTGTATACATGAAGTATATATAAATTTCTTTTTTAAAAAGCTTTAAATTTAATATAAAATATTTAAATTAATAGGCCACTCACACCATCTCTTGCTTTTGTAATTCGGATATTAGAATTAGAGTTCATATCCATTATCCGTTTATCCATTTATCTATTTGATATCTAGATCTGAATTTATTCGGATATCGATACGTATCCGTTTTACTATTGATATCCGGATAACGGATTTATCCGGATTGGAACTCTAATTAGAATTCAAGATAGAATATTCGAATATATAGTATAAAAAAAAGGGATGCTAAAAGCATATAGTGTCATAGGTTTAAACCTTTTTAAAATTCGGATCAAAATTGAGAATTTCTCCCTAAAATTTTTTATTAGTACATCCAAAATAGGTTTAAGCATATTTTTTTGCTATTTACTGTACGTAGTGAAATAGATTTTAGAATATTCGAATATTGAAGCCAAAACATTCCAAATACGAATATCACTAATCAATGAAAATATTTATATTTGTAAACTTTTTGGGTTGAACATATAACATATATGCTCATGTGCCTGTGAATATTCATAGACATTATGTAGAATACCGCTAAGATAATTTTTTGAACCGTTCACGTCAAATTTGTGCAAAATAACATACACAGCAGCAGCAATTTGCCATCGTCACGATGCTGAACTTTATAATGATATATGCATATTTCTTTTTAATGCAAATTATCGAAAGTAGGTCACGTCATGTTACTTTCAATGATTTAGCCAGTTTTTGTAAAACTCCGATATATGCGTCAGAAAATAACGTCATCAAACGAGTTAATACATACATGGTTAATACAGGTATATTTACATAAATATTTTTTTTTTGGCATTGGGTGCTGTGCATCTTTAAAGGTTATTTTATTGTACGGTTATTTTTATTGTACGGTACGGTTATTTTATTGTACGTTTTAATTGTAAATCGGAGTACACACATCAGAGTCCGATATGTCATCATTTAGAACGAATATCCTTGTATCATGTGTCTACTTTAGGTTAAAGATTGCAAAGAGCTTGTGTTTACACAAAAACGGATTCTTAATTAGTAGGAACAGCGTTAATAAACAGTATACTGCTCGTGACCTTTGTTAATGCAATGCACATGATATTTCATTATTTTAATGAAACACTAATTAGACATGAAAGAACAAAGGCCATTCGAATTCATGATTGTTATTACAAAGTTCTTGATCTTTTATTATTTAATAAAACACATTAATTATACATATTAAAATACTTTATTCATCATATTATGTTAAAAAAATGTTTTTTTTTAAAGACTTATTGTGAATTTACGGCAAATATCTCAATTTCTTCGGTAGTAAATTCAGATTCTAGAAGTCTATACTGGTAATAATTTTTATAACAAGAACCAGACAAACCATTACAAATTAGATCACTATTACCAAAATTTACTGCATGGTGAGTAGAGGCGTAATGCGCCTGATTAGGAGTACTAACTCTGCTCAAATGCATAGTTTTTATATTTTTCATATCATCAGAATAAAACAAAAAACTATCAAGGCTATACTTCCATTCCATTTGGGTTAAAAATCCAGATTGAAAACCTTGAGTATTGTTCATGCTTCTTCGATAACCTAAAGAATTATAACCACCAACAACCTTATTACATCCCCTAATTTTTATAACGACAACGTACGCACCATAATTTTGACATCTATTTATAATGGCCCCATTACTAAAACCATCACGTGTACCGCGATAGATGAGGTCAAACTGGTAGACGTTCTTTTTAGAAAAGACAAATGGTGATTCTTTTCGTTCGATCCAATTTGAAATAACCGCAGCATGCTTTGGTTTTAGAATAATGGAATCAATTCTGGAGTATGCTATTCTTGCCGGTAAATCGGCACTTTTTGGTTTTATATCTTTAAAATGGAATTGCATCAACTCTTCGTATAATTCATAACCGAGAATCTGTTTGTACGGTCGAACTTTATCATAGAAATCAGGACGTGAGATTGCCGTAAATCGAATATAAGGCATGAACTGATCCAATGTTTCCTTCAACGCCGCAAAACATACCGGATTCCAATTTGAAATGTTATTATTATTTGGTCCTAGCCCTGGAGTTCTTGCAATTCCCCATTGAATCAAATAATCCCACATCTCTGTTTCATCTATTCTTAAATCTTCTCGTTTTACCAAACCGAAAAGTATTTCTTTATCTAATTCGTTAAAATCATTTGAAATAAAAAATGGTTGTGGATCTTCACATATGGATTCCAAACAAAAATCTTGCAATTTTTTACAATTACTTAATCGAAAAACAGTATGTAAAACTTGAACAAAATTTTGTTGTACCCATGAACATTGATCTGTTACTAAATAATCTTGTACGTAAGTAACTAATTCTTCGAGAAGTAATTCGTCGGCTGCAACCATCAAATTTAATATATCTCTTCCAGATTGTTTCTCCAATGATACAACACCTTGTATTAATTAAATGAGTTATAAAACGTTTATAATTATGCAAATTGTTTTAGATTAAAACTTCAAATACCTGTATACATAAACCTAGTTCAGCAAAAAAATAAAAATAAAATAAATAATTTATATTTAATAAAATAATAATAAATAATAATAATAATTTGCATCACTCACTTAAGTATCAATTCAAATACTGATGGTGAAATATTAGGTTTAGAAAAAATGATATAACCATCTTTTCTCGTAACCCAATTAGTCGATAATGCGCTTTTGAAATAAGGACATCGTGCGCATAAAATGTTTGAATGTGCCCTAAATTCCTTAGAATTTTGATTTTCTCCAGCTTGAATTTTTACATCATAATTTTCTGAATGTTCAAGTAACTGTGTTAAATCTCGAATAAGAGTTGTTATAAATGGAGATGTCATTTTTATTATTACTTTTTTTTATATTATTATTAGCAAATTAATAAAAAATGAACAGATTAGAAATGTGAGAGGAGGATCAATTAGATGTTTATTTATATGATTTAGTTTATATTACGTGAAACCACATGATCGACTAACATAATTTACATAATTTACATATTATGGCGATATTCATTTCCACATTCATTTGATGATCCTGCAAAGGCATCTAATTTTCCATGCTTCAAATGATTACAAACAAAGTAACTTTTCTCCTCTATTACATAACTTCATATATTTGTACTAATAAAAGGGTTTTCATGCAATTAAAATCAAATATTATTCTTAAATCATCGAAACTTTTGATACAATATATGTAACCAGATAATATTAATTAAATACATACATGCAAAATTCGAACAATGTATGAATAAATAAATAAATAACAATATTATTATTCACGTTTTCATACATTCATATTTTGTGTTCCCAGCTGGACCTAACTAATCTATTAATTATCAATCAAATATTAGAAATTCGAAAACTCTAAAATTAGTATGAACTAATATAAACCCGCCCAAATTTACAAATTTTATAATTATACGTATTACTTTAGTTAAATTCTAATTCTCATGATATGAAATGTTTCAGATTTTGAAAAATGGTTTAGTTTATATTTCTTTAATACTCCACCAAAATTATTTCAGTTACCATTTTCAGTATTCAAATTTGTGTATCTTACTGATTTGACTTTTTTTGATTGACTGATCGACTGTTGGTAATCGCTAATCGCTAATAACCAACCAGGGTACCAGCCTATTCAAATTATCATGTGCTCGCTCCTTACTTTAACAGAGAATATAATAATTACACATTAATGATTATTTGGTATCTCTATATGTAAAAAAAAAAAAAAAAAAGAAGATAGGTAATTGATGTTCCGCAGTGAGCCGGCTTAAATAGCAAACTACGGAACACTATAGATAATTGATATTTATAATCTGATAAAGTTTATATATATATCAACAGAATTGTATATTTAGCACACAAATCTTTATGGGCACTCAAGCAAACTCTTGAGAATATTCGTCTTTCAAGTTATATGGAAAACACTGAAGCTAGTATAGTTCTTAATGCTGTATACTGAATTTTCACGCAATCACATGCAGTAATTCAAAAAAAAAAAAAAAGATGGTGACGAAGTGAAACTAGGGAGGGAAATTTTAGAGAGGCAGACCATTCAATAATCAGGTTTGATTTGGGTTGCCGGTACGGTTATGCGATTAAATATTATTTTAAAGGATCCAGCTGGTATATTACAGCGTTTTCACCTTGATCGTACATCATCTGTCATCTTTTCACACAGGTTCCGATAAAGTACTGGAGTATCGGATCAGATTACAGTAATTGAAGATAACTAACTATAAAGAGCATTCGCACAAGTATTTAAAAAATAGGTAATTCAAGTTCATGAGTATTTGCTATTAAATTTCAATCTATAATATGTACAAATTATATTTATTAATGGACAATTTTAACGCTCACTGGAGGTGAAATTTACCGATAATCAGCATTTGTTATACAAAGTAAAAATGTTCAGCGCCCAACTTCTACCTAAAGTTTAATTTTAGCTTTTTTTAAACTTGTGGTAAACTTTTCTATAGATCATATAATAGTAATTAAAAACATATAATGAATTTCAGGTGTATGCTAAATAATCTCATTATTAATTTAAGGATCTAAATAAGTGATTCAATTTATAAATATTTACATTCATTATTGATTCCATATCACTTCATTGACATTTTACCGAACCCAATTCGCCGTGTTTTATTTCACGACCTTATTTGACCGACAAGTTATTTCACCGAAGCTCATTTCGCCGACAAAATAATTCTGCTTATCGTCGTTAGGATTAAATTAGAATTAGAGTGTAATTTATAACAAAAAGCTTGTCTGTAGAATGGGTTTCGGTGAAATAAGCTGTCCATGTAATGAACTTGTCGGTCAAATAAGTGTCGGTGAAATAAAACATGTCAGCAAATTTTTTTCTGTAAAATATTATATCTACGAAATGAGTGTCAGTGAAGTGATATGGAACCTTATTATTAATTCCATTAATTCGGAAAATAAATGGCATACGGAATCCTCCAAGTATGAAAAGAAAAAAGACAATTTTCTGATTCACGGGAAGCATTTCGTCAAGAAAACTTGCAAAACTTATTACTGCTAGACTAGAGATTATATCCGGGTAATGACTAGAACTACTCAGGTAGGTTCAATCGAGTAATACTCGAGTGGGTTCACTGGTATAGTCAAATACAATCGATTCTGGATATAATGAACCTCTATATAACGAACCCGGATATAACGAACTCAAACTTTTAAAATTCTCATCATAGGTCAATATAGAAACTGCAATGAGTCCTTAAAAAAACATAGTAATTTCTATAGCTAACTTTTTTTCTTCCAGAACCGTCAGTTCGTCATAGAAAAAGTTGACTGTAATGCCCGCGTAATCAGATACCGCCAAGAGCTGCCTTGACAAGTAATCAACATTTATAATATGAGTTTAATTTTTTACCATGAGGATTTAAATTTTTAAATGTAATTCAAAGGACGTTATCGATTGTGCAAGTTTTGAGAGCATGCCACTACTAGTCACAATTGGCAATTGTATGCTTATTTGATGTAAACAATAGATTAAAAATACTATATTTGCTAAATTGTGTTAAGTTTTAAACAATGTGATACAGTAGATGATAATGAAATATCGACTCAGGAAACTTGCAAAAATCAAATTACTTAATAGCCTGCTCCTGTACTCGGGTATATCTGGTTGACCGGCAGGTTTACTTGTCGGTTAACCGGATAGCGTTCTTTTGACCATGCACAATCGCTATTCTGGATCTTATTTAAATGAACTATTACAAGCACTTAATGACATGATTAAATTTTTTTATTGAAATTTAGGCAGCGATTATAAGAAAATTTACTACCAGAGAAGTAAAGTGTTGATATGAAAATGTATAGAGATGAAGTGGGCTGTCAATAGAAATCAAGCAGATTGACATTTTTTAAAAAATTGTGACAGCTTATGTTGGGATTTGAGTCCCTTATTTAAACCTATAAAATCCATCTATCTTTTTCTATTAATAAACTACCTCTAAACCTTAACCTAATCCTAAAAAACAAACCAACAAAAATAGCCCTAAATTTTTTTAAAATTTAATATCAAAATAGGTTAGAATCCTAGCTTAAACTGCCACAAAAATTAACGCCTTAACTGCTTCTGCTCATATCTCAATGAATTTCGAAGCTATTTCCATTTTGAATAGTCAAAAGAAAGCTTAAGATATCAGCTTTTTTTTTGACAATTCAATAATGAGAATAGTTTCGAAATTTATCGAGATACGAGTAATGAAAGTTAAGACATCAATTTTTTTAAAAAATGTCAATCTGCTTAATTTCTATTAATAACAGCCCAGGTATTGAAGATTTGCTAAAATTTTCTATATAATAACAGACCTGAATAACATTACTTTCATATTTAAAAGGCGCGTGTGGATTCCAGTGACCAAATTATAGGTCTTACACACCTATACAATAAAAACAAAAATTTATGCTCTATATAAACATTTTTAATTTTATTAATAATCTTTTATTAGTTGTTGCCTATTTAAAGCTATTTAGTTAGACATTCTTTTAAATTTTTTTGTGAGGAAACGTTCTAATCGAAAGTTAGTCCTGAATTTTTTTTATATACAAATGTATGTTTTACATATAAAAAGTTTTTAGGACAACTTCTCGATTAGAACGTTTCGTCATAAAAATTTTTTAAAATCCGAACGCAAACATTTTTAGAAAGTATAACTAATTAGCTTTAAATGGGCAACAGATAATAAAAGATTATTAATAAAATTAAAAAATTTTTATATAGAGCATAAATTTACGGGTTTATTATACTTTATTAATAAAAAATTGATTCCGGTAATTTATTGTAGGGATGTGTATGGGTAGGGTTCAGGGCATGGGAAAAAAATTGGGCATGCCCATATGGGCATGCTCCTGAGCTAAGGCATGCCCCTCATGCCCATGGTATGCCCTTTTTAAATCATATGATTAACACATAGTTTAAAAATCTTACATGTTTGATTTAGTATGTATGGGGCATCTCCACTCCGGTATCAATTGACCAATCAAAACTTACTTGCATTAATGACTAGATTCAAGTTTTGATACCGGTCTTTTCAACGGTCTTTTCAACGGTCTCACGGTCTTATCGGTCCCGGTCTGGACCGTTCCTGACAAACTGTGATATTCATATCACCCGATCAAATTGCTTTATGTTTGTTTACATCTAACGGTAAGTAATTACGTCATTTATGACCAATAAGATTTGTTCATTTAGGACCATTTTAGGACTGGGACCAGTGTTTGAAATCTCATTGCAAATTACCTATTTTTGTAGCCCGGCCAGGCCCGCACCTAGTTTTAAAATTTTTTTGCCGGCCCGGCCCGGCCTGCATATATATAAATTTTTCTTCAGGATGGCCTACCCCAGCCCAACGCGCAAAATTTATTATTAAATTTTGAAAAATTTTAGGCCCGCTCAAGCCTGCAGTTGTAAATTTTCTTCAGGCTCGGCCCGGCCTGCAAAAATTTGCGGGCCGGGCTGGGCTGCAGGACCCAATACGGGCATCTAATTTTCATGTTCTATTTAATGTTTTAGAGTCAATTTTTGGGTGATCTACATAATATAAATAATTAGCTGTTCTTACTCACAAATTTGTGTTCTCTTGAGAAGTCTAAGAACACTAATTTTAAACACTGACTGAGACCAGGATCGAAAATATTGTCACTAGACCAATTGTTACATGTTATTCATAGCAACTTAGTTATCATAAGCAGAAGTTTGTTTGATTGGCTAATTAAATAAATTCAATTTAATTTTACAGTATTTATACGGTTTAGAGTACTTTTTAAAAAAACGAAAATGAAATGAAAGAAGCTATATAGAAGGTTTTATTAGAGCAGTAGGACTTCATAGCCAAAAATAAGACCTAATTCTCTCCGTTGTAAACAGAAAGGTCGTCGAATCGGTCACTCCACAATCGGGTACATCGTCTAACCACTTAGGGTTAATATCGGGTCGAAAGAGGTGTGTTAGATTTGGCGAGTGGTTAATTCGGGTTCGTTATTGGACAAATGTATTAGCGCACTTTATGTAATCACAAGTTAGTGACAGATTAGGTATTAGTTTATTTGCCAAGGGTGGGAGTTGTTATTTTCCCGAAGGGCCTTCAGGCCTTTATTTATAATTACGAAACTTATTTACATCTTGCGATGCATCGTATCCTACTGATATCATCTAAAAGACCGATCGCTGCTATCTGTCATATCCGTCAGATGCGACTGATGCGACGGATACGACGGATCAACCTTTTCGCTAATTTAGTAATGGACACCCAGACGGCCAGGGTCCATTCGGATCTCACACCGTTAAAAAAATTAGCTTAGTAATAAGTTGATTTTATCGGGTTTTAAGAAGTTATTACTATACTAACTTTTTTAAACGGATGAGAATTAGATCTTATTTTAGTTATGGAGTCCTACAGATCTAATGAAACCTTCTATACAGCGTTTTTTTAGAAAGTACTCTAAACTGTATAAATAATGTAAATTTATTAGCCCATCAGACAAACTTCTGAAACTTAAGAATTATAATAAAAAGTAATACGTATGCGTTTGACACCCATGTTTATGACCTAATTTTTATCATTTTGTGCAACAATTTGTCGGATCTCGTTTTGATTGACGACTCCTCATAAACATGAGGAACCGACAATACCATATCATTCCGCTAGTCATGTTATGATTATAATAAAATGGTGTGGGATTATAATCATAACATGTACTAGCGAAATGATCTAAATAATTTTTTTATATGTTGCACACCAGGTGAAGGATCAATTGTGTAACATCAACGGTTCCTCCTGTTCGCTTCATATAGTCCTTTGATTCGTGTGACCTGCTGTGATCCATAAACATGTAGGCAAAAAACTCACAGTAGTAACGGTTTACAAATGAAAAATGACTGCCTCTGTTATGTCACTTGGTTATTCGTAATATGACCATAGTGACCGGTCATGTGTATAATGACCAATGTTATTTAATAAAAAACCGGGATTCTGTGCCAGATTGATGGCGCAGATTGCAGCTAACAAAAAATTTTTAAATTCACTATAGTTAGGGTTAGCGTTTAGACTAAAATTAGAGGTTAGAAATAAGCGGTTTTTGACAAAAAGAACAGTTTGAAACTTTCTAATCGTACTAGATCTTGAAATCTGATTTGTAGATTAGGAATCTGCTTCACAATGATTGACAAAACCTGGCGCAGAATATGCGTACATTTAAAGAAAAGGGTTTAAGGGGTATCCTGCAGTTGAAAGTTATTTCCCTTACACAGCATCATATAAAGTTGTGGTCAGCATCTGATTAGCTGCAGGTATATATTTTTAGCAATTTGCCACTCTGTAATGCTGTAATGTCAAAAATGCCTATGTCTAGGGACGTTGAAAAGTACGATCCCAAGTCAACTTGGGACTCGACTCTCATTTCACGTGCAACTTGTATATTTAAATACAACATATGCATTTTTTTTCGCCTATTATTTAAATATTCAAGATGCACGTTAAATGCAAACCCAAATATTTCGCCGAATCCGAATCCGAAATCCGGACAATACTAGTTTCGCACAACATGCAAATTTCCGAAATGTCCGTAATTGCCAATATTATAGACTCAATCCGAAATTGTCTGAGACTATGATTGGTCATGTTCAAAAACGTGACCCAATCGCGTAAAATTTTTTTGGTTTATAATTCTGTAATTGACAGATTTTGTATCAGTATTGAAAGGTCATCAGATTTGATAACATTATAAACGATTAGATTCATACTGTTAAACCGATCCTGTCAAAATTGATAACCTATTAAATTTAATAAAAATTAATCCGTCACGTCTGCTTCCGCTATTCCGCTATATGAATCTAATAGTTTATAATGTTTTCAAATCTGATAACTCTCATCATAATATAGCATAAATAATTAGGATTACAATATGTACATTAAAGAATTGAGCGTTTCATTAAAAGATACATACTGTTAAACTTGCCAAAACCGATATGCATAGTGGAAAGATTTTGAGGGTCATCAGATTTAAAGACATTATAAACTATTATATTCATATGACGGAAACAGACTTGGTGGATTAATTGCTTATTAGATATGACAGGCTATCGACTGTGACAGGATCGGCTTTGGGAATTCAACAGTATTTGAAATATGCTGTTGAAAAGATAGGCAACACTTCGCGCCACTCATGACTAGGGATGGGTTCGGCTACGAACGGCTATGGTTATTCATAGTTAATTTTCCAGATACTGAGATTATTAGTTTTTAATTAAAGTTGTTCAGAATTAAATTCTGTTCATCCCATCCTAAAAGTGGAAAGAACGATAACTTCTCTGGAACTCGGAATGTTAAATTTTGTAATGTAATAGTCGGCTACTAACCGTCGGCTAATAGCCGGCTATGCTGTTGACAAAATTTAACATTCCGAGTTCCAGAGAAGTTATCGTTCTTTCCACTTTTAGGATGGGATGAATTCTGAACAACTTTAATTAAAAACTCAAAAATAAAAAAAAATCATCACATTATCTGGCAAATTGGCTATGAACAAACATAGTCGTTCATAACCGAACTCATCCCTACTCATGAATATATTTCGGATGATATCAGAAATATCGGAAGTGTCAGATTTTATCGGATTTCTATCGAGTTTTCATCTTGATTTCGGAATTTGGAATTTTTAGTTTGACTTGGGACTGAACTTTAATAAAAGATACTGCTTTTGAAGTCGAGTCGGACCGAACAAAATTTTAGCATCTCTACTTATATATAATGATATATTAAGCCGATTTTACTACCATTAGAATCAGAAAAGTTGATTCTACAACTTTTATTAGAAGTCAAAAATAAATTTAATAAAAAACTTTTAAATATAGTGAAATCTCATTCCTGTACTATATCAGAAGTAATTTAAATTCTGATTTTGTCTATCATAAAATTGACCTTTTTTATATCCTTCAGAGATGAACTACCATTAAATATAATTTTGACAAATAAGAGAATTAAATACTTAAAAAATAAGTGATGGGGAAATTGTTGTCAGCAGAGTGACTAGAAGCAATTATTAGAACTTTTATTTGATAACATATACTCATTTCCCGCCAACCCATTCATCGGCACCATATTGTCAACAGCATACATTTTCAAGAAGACATTTATCCGATATTACGTGTTTCGACATCCCTTTTCTCAGAAAAGACATCTCAACAACAATTGGTTCCTCGACATTGACATAAAATTGGCCTGATTTAACATTAGGGTTAGGTCAATTTCGAGTTAGTGTTAGTTAAAATTATGTCGGAAAATAATTGAGAAAAGGATTGTTAAAAACATGTAATGTCGGATCTATGTCATTTCAAAAAAATGCGCCATTGGCAAAATGTCTTGTCGACAATATGGTGTCGATGAAATGGATTGGCAAGAAATAACTTTCGAGAATTGTCATGTAGCCAAAGGATATGGTCTAACAAATGGTAGGAATATTGTGTCTTCTAAGTAAAGAGCTTCAAAGTTGGATCTTTTTTAGATTCTTTTTGTACAGTGAATATTAATTGTTTCCTTTGTCGATTAGTCAATTGAGATGAGCATTAAGGTAGTTTGAAAAAAAGTTTTAATTAGGTTATGTTTAGCGGATTACATTTTAGTTTATTCCGATTTGTAAAATAAATATTGCACAGTAGCAGTGAAGGTTTTCATCTGGTTTCAAAGTATTCTGGACTTATCACACGGGACCTGATTGTTCTACTAGTTGTGACCTACTAGTAACCAATGCAGGGGAGAATTCCCATGATCAATCTTTTATAAAATTGATTTGATAGCTTACCCTGAGTTATCTAAGCATCTAACTCCCTTATCAAAGTATACGTTGGTACTAGATTACCTTCCCACAACTGTATACAACATTCAGGCCCGTGTCCGGAAGCTAACTTCACCATGGTCAAATGAGGTCGTAATACACCTCATTCTTTCTAGTTTCATTTATTTCATCTCATAAATTTTTTGGTCAGTTAGAGAACATGATAGAATCTTCCCAGCTAACCTTACATGCCGTTTTATACATCACATCAAGAAATGTAACAATTTCAGGTTTACATTGTGAGCCCGATTTTCGAGGTCACGAGTGCCCGAATCGAAGCGACGATCCTTACCCGATCCAAGGTCACACGAAAAGTAACTGAAATGTTACTTATGTTACTTTGGCTACATATTCGTCAAATGAAATATCGGCCTTTTATTAGATTTAGTTAAGATATAGAGTATAAGAAATATATTGCGTTTATGAAAGAAATTAATTGCAAATGTAAATAAAACGTTTATTATAAATAAAGGGCATTTCTGCCTTGGGAGAAAATACTATCCCTTATAACAACAAATTCCCTAATAACAATAAATATCCGACCTATAATAAAGTACAAGTTCTATAAAGAAACGAGTTTATATCGTTAATCCCACTATTAACGCAATCGTTTGCCCATATATCACTAACTCGCCATTGATCTCTCGGACATTAGTAGCTTACCCACAAGATTTTTTCCGGCATGTGATTCTTGGCAAATTAGATCGAAGGATCAGGTGTAACGTAAAATCAAAACAATCGAATTAAGCGAAAGATTTTAAAGTAATACAGTAATAGGTATCATCTTTAGAGTTAGTATTAAGGATAAGATAGGTCATAGCTTACACTAAAATTTCACGAGGAATTTTTTATTAGAACGCAGAAGGCAGTTTCATAGGTAAAATTTCGAGTTAATAGCGATTTTTTAAAAAGACGTAATTTTCGCGGTACACCTGCTCCTTCAATCTAATTGGACATGCTCACGTGTCGGAAAAAATCTTGTGGGTGAGCTACGCGGAAATTCTACGGACAGAACTTAGGGACAGAACTGGACATAACAAACTCACGTGGTATTATTAAAATTCCTCTTACACTAACCAATAACTAACTATTCACGTGATTTGTTCTGTCCCTAAGTTCTGTCCGTAGAATTTTCGTGAGCTACAGGGTTGATCACTCGCCACAAGTCACGTGACAAGGTCGTAACGTAAGAGAAGAGTTCCAACTCCGATTCGACGTAGTGTAATCCTGGGTTGAGGCATACAAGAGAAGACAAGAATTAGAATAAGAATAGGTTGAAGGAAAGACTCAAAGAAGAGACCAGTACTTACCCACGGATAAACCCACCAGCCAAATCTAACACGCCTGTTTCGACTTAGCCGCCGTAGGTTGGATTAGATTAGCGACAGACTCGCCGAATTCCGAGTCATAACATGCCTTCTCCGTCTAGCCCAGCTGCAGGGTTTTCCTTAAAAAGGCCCCCTATACTTTTCAGTATAGGATCCATATCACTAATTAAGGAATCTTTTTGATCATAACACCGAATAACGTTCTAGGCTCCAATGAGTCCACCTATACCCATAGCGCTTTCATTCGGTTAAGGATCTCCCAGTTACCACAGACTCCATCATGGCCAACTAGCCCCCCCAGCTAGCCTCTTCCTTAGCATAAAGAATCATCCTGGCCTGGTTCCCCGTCCTGGGTTACGTCACCCAGCATGTTCCTAAATTTTAACACCTTATTAGCTTGCATAAATTTTGGCATTCACGATGATTACTCATCTCCCACATGCATATTCTTCCGTTTATATGAATCCATAAACTTCACTTTCGTGTGATTTTAGGATATTTAGGCTTGTTACCTTCCAAAATTATCGCACAGATCCGAAACATTCCACGGGACCCATGTGCCAAATTATTGGTTTGATAACAAAGTTATAGACTTTACCTACAACTTCTAAAATATAAAAGCGTTGATCTAAATAAATGTATTAAATGAAAACTTTTCACGCTTACTTGATTGCTCTAGCTTTCAGGTTAGATTTCAGCGTACTTGGGTGTCTTCATCATTGGGGGGTCCCTCATTAGCTTTTAGGCTTAACCCGGGTTACCTAACACGCTCCTTTCTCTCACTTTCGTGATGTTGTTCACGGCACTGGATTAGGGCTAGTTAGTTCGTTCCGTGCAATGATTATGACTTCCAACCGGCAGTCCAGGGGAGTATCACAAGTTAATATTTCGTTGACCACTTAAAGGAGTCTCATGGCCAACAAGACAGAACATATACACCTAGATAATAACTTACTAGATTCTGACTTCCTTTGGAATCTCATTGGTGTTTTCCGCTTCTCCTGGTGTTTTCAACTGGTTTAAATTTAATTTATTAATTTTCATTTCCGTCTTACATTATACTTTATATCATGGTATTAACCTTTTTGCGGTTTTGGTAGATTTCACCGACACCTAATTCGCTGACACCTATTTCACTGACGACCATTTCACCGACAGTCCACTTCTCTGACAACATATTTCGCTGACAGTCCATTTCTTTGACAGCCACTTCACCGACTTCACTTCACCGACTGTCCATTTTCCGACAGTTCATTTCACCGACAATTCTATTTTACAGACTTTCTATTTCTCTAGCCATTACTAACTATAAAGCGGGCCAACCCTAACCCAAAATCGAGCGAGAATTGTCGACGTAATGAACTGTCGGAGAAATAGATTGTCGGGGAAGTGAAGTCTGGAAGTAGGCTGTCGAGGAAATGGACTGTCGGTGAAATGCGTTGTCAGAGAAGTGGGCTGTCAGTGAAATGGCCGTCGATGAAATAGGTGTCGGTGAATTAGGAGTCGGCGAAATGAATATATACCCCTTTTAACGTAGCTTCTATAGACACCTTATTAATCTTAATGGGTCTTAGGGTCTTTCTTACACGATCGTCATTTCATGCGCCAAGAATATTATATTAACCCTAACAGCCATAGTTTTGACGGGTATGTATCATTTCACCGACAATCAATTCACTGACATCCCATTTCACCGACTAGTTTTTTTTTAAAGTTGCACTAACATTAACTCTAATTCTAACTGAAATGACCAGAATTACTTTGTCGGTGAAATGAGCTGTCGGCGAAATAACTGTCGGTAAAATAAACTTGTCGGCAAATTGACTGTCGGTGAAATAGGTTGTCGTTTAAGTGAAATGAGCACCCGTTTTAACTAACCGGAGGGAGACTACTGTTACAGTAGTGACCTCGAGGGGAGTGAACTAACTCGCGCGCCCGAAGTTAGAATAACAGAACTGTTACATCGCAATGGTTGAGAGGTCAGCTGCTCCCTAACACACCTTTCGGTTTTAATCGACTATGGTTTCAGCTGGAGGCCCTTTTCACCAAAGTTGGATAAACATGATTTTCTCATGCCCTTCTAAGGTTACTAATGAGTTTAACTGGTGACCTTGTAGTCTGTGCACCTTCTCCACGTACCCACAAATAGCTGGGAGAGTTTCCAAATCATACTACCTGCTGCACCATCACGTGCCAGTCTTATGGAGCTTGGCTCATAGTTACCCATTGTTACATGCCATAACCACTGAGTTTTAAGTTCATAGAAGTTTAGCCATCCTTTAGGAATTTACCCGATAGATTTCCTTTGGGCGTTTCATGAATTTGGCCACTATTAAAACGGAAGTTGTGCACTCTATAAACTTACGCTTATGCATATCACCACATTGAGCCCTTTATTCCCATAACATTTCTTGCCCGGTTCAAGATCCGAATCCTTATCGCGTTACCTAATTAGCCCTTAATAAAATGTTTCCAATTATTGTGACATATTTGAAATAATCATCCCCTACCCACTTTGCGGTACAACGCATATGGAACATATACCCAGAACTTGCTCGTCTTCCCATAATGACAGTGACCTTTCGGCTAAGGGGTTTACCTTCCATCTTTCCATGTGACAAAGCAATGCAAAACTATACGTCATGATATTCAAAGTAAGTCTGAATAATCTTCCAAATATTTACCAGAGGTTCATAGTGCTGTGCTATTTCTGTAGGATTGGTTTTCTCTAGTGATGTGCTGCGTATAGTACAGTGCGTAAAAAATTTTTTAAAATATCCTAGAACAAATCATGAAAGTATACCTATCTCAAAATTTTGATTATGAAACTGTTTTCGCATTCTAACAAAAATTGTTTCTTGCACAGTGTTTCATGTAAATTATTTATAAATGCTACGTGTATTATGTGCATTACGTATGCTATACACACTATACAACTATAAGTACTGTACGCGAAAAATATTCGGATATCATATAAATTGCACATCTATACTTTCTACTTCACAGGACCGGCTGCTGCTCTTTCATTAGAAATGTTACAGTCATCTCACACGTGTTATAATGCTTCCATTATAGCGAGCCCGTTAAATCTCGTGTATGGATCAGACAGCCACGTTGTTTTAAGAGGCCGATTCGCGAGTCTCTGTTGGGTTTATCTAATCCAATCGTATTCCGTACAGACAGCTACTGTAATCAACTGCACCATCATATTGTTAACATAATCATGTTTTTCAACAAATTAAGATGCAAAAATAAATACAGTCATAATTCTTCTCTATAATCACACAGTTTGTTCCAAGCAAAAATGGTGATTATAAAAAGGGATAATTGAGGGGTCTAGGTCAAAAAATCTCAATAAACAAAATCCTGATAGGGTCCAGTCTAACCAATTATATATATATGTGACTTTATTTAAACCAATATAAAATAATCAATAATAAACAAAAAATAATATTAATAAGTCTTATAAAAAAACAAGCAAGAAGGTTAAAATAAATAGATTATTGAAAAAAATGAAAGAAAAAAATCTAATTATTGAATCTAAAAAGTTTATCAATAAAATGAAAGAACATTTTTAGAATTAGTTAAGAACATACTAATTTAGACATGATATATTTAAAGAAAAATAAGTAGAAATTCACAACTCAAAAATACAATTTAGATAAAATTGTACAAAAGCTTGAACTAAAAAATCTTCAAAGAAAAATCATAAGAATTACTAATAAATTTTAAAAATATAATTTTAACAAATACATAAATTACTTATATACTTATTTAAATAATTTATTCATATTTAGTTACAAAAGATTTTTTTAAAAATTATAAAAATTTATATTAGAATAAAAAGAAATATTCAAAAAATAAATAGTATAAATCTATTTTATTTTATAAAAACAACAGATTAATAATACAACTTAAGCAATAGTAAACCTATTATACTACTAAAAATTTTTTAAAAATACATAATCAAGTGTTTTATAAAAAAGTTAAGTATAAAAGAATAATTTAAAAAACTTAAACTTTGCAGATCTTTTAAGTAATTTATCAAAAAAAACTTATATATATTATAAATATAAATTTTTTTTTTTAATATTAAGGCGAGTAATTGTGACCCAGGAGTTTATTGATAATCAGTTAGCATATAACTATTGTGTACAACAGCTACAAAGGCAATTATGAAAAGAGTGTATAACTAGCCATTCATACAACTTTAGTTATTGTCTATTTTAAGTAGTCCACCCAAAGGTTCTACACTAGTTGTCATACTTAGAACCCACCTGTGGATTCTCTATTTAAACACTTTAGTTCCCATATCTACTTCTATTCTATCAACTGCAACCATTGCTGCAAATATGTCATGGTCACTAAGTTATATTTAATTTTATACTAAGCCTATCAGAGCCTTTTGTATTCCATACTTACAGCTGACCTAGTACTACTCTGGCCTAGACCATTACTTGCAGTTAGGATTAACTATTAAACTGCTGTACCCTTGTAAAGTTCACAAGGATCCCAATATCTTCCTTTCCTAACTTTCATTCTCTACTTCTGGACCTATAAGACTCACAAGACTTCACAAACTACTAATTCAGATGACCCATCTGGCAAATCTAGTAGCCTGGTTGGTATGTGCTCTTCTATACATGTTGTCGTCCGATCCATCTGAGGTCCTAGTAATTCTTTTTTGTGTCTTCTGATGATTCAGTAGTACAGTCGAAAGTTCATTCTACCTCTTTACTATAGATTTCCAAGTAGGTTTTTGATTTTTCGGTTCTTTTGCTTTCTATATCTGGTGGTATTATCATGGGTTTGCACTGAAGTTTTATACAATACTGGTTATTAACATTTCTCTATATAGGTGTAACATTACACTTTGCATAGATGTCCTGAGCTCCTATTCGAGATGGTGCAACAAAGATTACAGATACACTAATCCAACTGATTGACAGAGACAGTTACCGAAACACAGACCTTATTTTTCAAAATTCATTGTCCATAGGATTTGAACTCTAGACCTGCCACTTGGGGGTTGACAACCTGACCACTTCACTAGGTCACCATACCCCTTATAAATATAATTATAAAAAATATAACAAAGAGTTATAATTAGTTTTATAAAAATAAAAATCTTTTAATTTAGTTTTACTAAAAATTTTAAAGTTAATAATAGTAAATTTAAAACAATTAAAATAATAATTATATTTATTTTAAATTTGTTTAAAAAAAGTTATTAAATTATTATTATTTTTTTTTTTGGTATTAAGGTAACCTCTTTGATCTTTTGACTTTATTAACATATTTTTAGGAATGTAGTTCTGTAACAAGCTATTACAGGAAAAGTGTACAATTGGCCACTTATATAACTTTCTATATTACCTATTTAAGGAGTCCATCTAATATTCCCTACCAATTGCTGTACCTAACATGCCTGCTTGGGTGTTTTATTTAAACCCTTAAATCTGTCCCATGTTACTTTATCAGGTCAAGCCTGGATCCTTCATCTCAACCTTAGGACAGTTATTCTTGAGGTAAACCTTATGGAGTCTGCTGTTTACTTATTTTTGCAACTAACCTGAATATCATTATGGCAGAACTAATACTTGCAGTTAGGACTAATAATTAAACTGCTATGCCCTTGTAGAGTTTACACAAACTCCAATACCTACTTTACAGCATATCCCTAGTACTTTAGTATACCTTTGCTTTTTTTATCAAACTTTCAATTCAGATAGCCCATGTAGGATTACAACCAGTCTATCAGTATATTAGGTTGGCCTAATATCCCTTTTCTTCAGTCTGATTTGGCAGCTTGGTTGGTGGTACTTCTGAGATTCCCAATCCAGAGGTTCTTACCCATCCAGTTACTTTAGCATTGGTATCTGTTTCTTAGAACTAGCCTTTACAGTAGTACTGTCAAAGATCTATATTATCTCTCTACTCAGATCTTTTCAAATAGACTTCTGGTTCCCCAATTTCTACAGATTTACATGACCATAAGGACTTATCTTGAGTTTGCACTGCTCGATTTGTCAGTTTGCATTCTTCTGTATAACAAGTTACACAAATGCCTCATAACTTGCCAGTCATACTAATGCAACCATATTACAGATATCTTAACCCAATCATTAGGAATAGTTGCCATAATACCAAATTATATAAATGATTATTCAAATTTTCACTATCAATGAGATTTGAACACCCAACCTATTACTAAAAGAGTTAACAACCTAACCACTTTACTAGATCACCATGCTTTATTAAATTATTATTTTAAACTATTTAGTTAACAAATTTGATAGTTAAAAATTTTTTTATATTTTTTTTAAATTATTTAGCTTTTATTAAAGACAAGTTTTTTTTCTAAGCTAAAATAAAATTTTAATATTTGTTTAATTAGTATTTATTAAAATTATTATATTAATATATATAAATTTTTTTTAATAATTTAGTTTATTTTTGATCTATTCTAAAATTTTATTATAAAATTTTTAAAAAAAATATTTAAAAATTTTAAATTTTTATATAATTTAGAAAATTTTTTCTTTTACTACTAATAAAAGTTGAAATTTTAATTATAAAATAATAAAAATATAAATAAATTATATAATTTGATCTGTTCTATAATTATTGTTATAAATATAACATATTTATTTTTACTAATTTAAAATTTTATTATACTAAAAATAAATATTTAAAATTTTTAATTTTTATAAAATTATATATTTTTTTAGTTTATAAACAACTTGATTTGTTTAATAATTAAAAATTAAAAGTACTAAAATATACTGTAATTTTTAATTATAGTTTTAATTTAAAAAAAATTCAAAAAATTTAAAATTTGATAAAAATAGATTAAAAACAATATTTAAAAATCTAAAAAAATTCTAGCAATTAAATTTGTTAACTAAATTAGATAACATAAAAGATATATTAAAATTAAATAAAAAATAATTTTATCTTTAATTTAGTAAATATAATATTTTATAACTTACTATTAAAAAAATTAAAATAATTTTAATTTGAATTATATAAGAAAAAAATTTTAATTACATATAAGGTTTATTAAATTTATATAAGATAAATTATAAATAATAAAAAGAATGTTAATTTTAGTATAATAGTTAAGTTGTTATTCTTTAAACAATAAATCTAAAGTTTAAATCCTACTGGTAATAAAATTTTAAAAAATAGTTTTATTCTAAAATTGTAATTTTATAATTCTAGTTGTACTAAAACTAACTTTGGAAGTATGCAATATTATATAAATAAATTTAAAAAGTATATATTTTATAAGCAGCTCTATTTGAAAATTCTAAATAAAGAAATAGTATAGTATTCAATAGTACTATCTGTAAAAATATTAATTTAAAAATTAAAACCTAGAATAGATGATCTGTATAGTTAAAAACTCTAAATAAATGAATCTACCAATTTGATTACTAATTGAACTAATTATAAAGTTGTATTATACAGAACTAACTAAATTAGTAGTATAAAAGAATTTGCAAAAGTATATAAAGTACTGATGAGGTTGTAAAAAAAGGTACTAAGGTTCTTTAAACTCTAC